TGGTTGTAACAAGTTTGGCCAACATACGAGCATTCCAAAAAGCGCTCAGACACGAAATTCGCGTGTAATTCAACCACAGACATACACATTCGCACTCAAATACATTTTACTAAATTATATTACACTCGAGCGTAATTTGCGTGTGGTGTGTGGTGTGTTGCGGTGCGAACTTAGAATTAGGTCATGGCACTCCAAGTTGTAATTAACAAACGCGAATTAATAACAGGGCGGTATATTTTTTTCAAATTTTGCGCCACGTATAAATCAAATCGTGTAAATTTCGGTTTACATTATGCGATTGTATGATTATACTCATTCGAATTTTTTGCTTTATGTGCATTCGAGTGTAACATGCGTTGCGAAAATTACATTTGCATAAATACACACTACTTGTTGCTAATATTGACAGTCAAATGTTAAATTCAAACGTAATACTCGTGCATAATATTATATTTTGCATTTTAATTGATTTATTAAAGTTTTTGCTTTTTGGTATAAAATTGAGGTTAGGTAAGCGTTATGGACGCAATTTTGAGGTTATTAAGTGCTGCACTTATGAATTCTGTAAAAGCAACATTTTTCATTGTGTTTTTCATCTCGAGAAACACTTAAACCACTCGAAAGTAATCAAAAAACAACCAGTTACGTCTAGATTGTGTTATCAAAAAGCAAATACACATCAAAATCGCACCTTTTTGTTATACTCATCGCATATTTTTTTCATTCTCGAGTTGATTCCGGTTTTTAACAAAAATACAATTAATTTACATCCGATATTTATCACCAGAGTGGAAAATAACAGTGAAACATACCTAGAATTTGCGAAAATGTTATCACTATCAGTAAATTAAGTAAGTTTTGCAATGTGAAGTTATCAACTACACGAAAAGCAAACTTCTGGACGTTTATGATGTGTTTGAATGTATGTGAGTGATTGCTTATCACTTATCACACTCATATTAGCCGCCTAAACAAACATGTGCAGCTTTCGTGCAAAAGTTCCTGCATTTCATGGAAATAAATGGAATGCGTGTGTAATGATTCGAGATGTGAAGCGAGTCAAAGGTCATTGCGAACGTTGACAACACCGAAAATAAAGTTATCAGCGGAGGCAACGCTCTATCGCGGTTTGCAATAAAAACAAAAAGCATAATCGCAATTGAATACAAAATAGGTTTATCGCCGTATGATTAACATTATCAACGCGCGGATTATTTTATTATAAATATAACCAATCAATAATTATTCTTAATCAATGAATAATGAAATAATAAAGTTTAAAATCCAACAATGCAGCAATTATTTATAAGTTTTCTTTGTTTTTTTAGGGGGAATGTAATTGTCATGTTAAGTATTTTTGCATATTGATGAAGAGAACCTTCACCTTGAACTCAATATTGAAATTTAGCGAATTTTGTGTCCTTCACGCGTTCAGACTCGTAAAAACGCGTTGTAAAATTAACCACACGCCTCTTCCTCGTTAATCCATTTAATCATCTAATGATTATTCTAATTACCTTCATAAAACCTGTATTACATTATCAGACATCAATCAATCAAATTAAAATTTAGAATCAAGGCGAGTAGATAAGTTGCAAGGTTATGCATGCACATAAAACGCCATCTATACGTGAAATTTTTATTATTTTTTGTAATTTTTAACTTTTTTCCTTGTTTAATCGATTTAAATTGAAATTTTTAGTAATGAAAATTTAAAATATTGGCAAATAGATAACTAGTGAGGTTATGTATGAACTTGCGCCATCTATACGTGAAAATTTTAACTTTTGCGTGCGGATATGTTTGAGAAATAATAATAAGTGGCACAGTGTGTGCTGTGTTTGTTTATTGCATGTGTGTGCGCTTGGCATTTTATTACCGATCGCTTCTGGTGCTTTCCATTCGATCACACCCGACACGTGCAGCCTATAAAACGTATTTACCACGTTGCGGTCGGGTAAAAGTCGCTAGCGCCACAATAGTAACAATTAAACATTCATTTCGCAGTCGCGCACACGCGCAAGAAACTAAAACGAAAGATTTACAACGACAACTGAGGCATAACACACGCGTATTAAACTTTTGCTAGACGCGCACGTTTGCGAAAAGTTTTATAGAACTGCGTGTGGAGTAGTTTTCCACTTGAGAAATTTGCGTCTCAGATATGCATCTGTCATACTCATAAGCAACGATATAATGGGAATCTCGGTGTAAAGTACACTTTATTTATAGTTTAGACAATAATAGAGTTTTAGAATTTTATTTTATTTATTAATTTTATTGATATCAGTTTTTTTTTTTTTGAACTTGACTATTGAAATACGAATAAAAATAAAACGAAAGCGATTGTGTTGTGTTCAGTTGACGTAAGGACACGAGCCAAGATTAATTCGCCAACGAATGCCAGCGAATTTAAATCGTGCACAGCTCGAATTAGAAATTGAATTTAATTAGCGACACATTTCTCTTTTTCCAACACGACAATACAATATACCTACATATTTACATTTTTTTCTACTCTTATTTATTTGTGCGTAAACAATGTGTGCGTATTAAGTACTTATTTGTGCTGGTTTGGCTGCTCGGGTGTGAGTTGAATATCAAAAATCAATGCCGAATCAGCGAAATCAAAGTGTTTTACGACAACATTACTTCGGTTACAATACGCGCTCTTTCCTGTTATCAGCGACTTTGCAATACGGATTCTATTGCGTCGCGGATTTATTCCGGATGAATACGCCGCGTATGTGTTTTGGTTATTGTTGAATTATATGTGCTCGGATATCGCACGTTTTCGAAGGTGATAATCGCACTTGACGTGCTTATGAGAGCATCAGTGTTTCGATAACGTTAACGAGTTTTATTAATAACGTGATATCTCTGAGACTTTGAAGGGTACCAACAATGTTTATATATTAATTTAAAGAGGAAGGATTAAAGTACCTTTTTAGGTAGGTGGCGCTGGTGTAGAATTTATAATTTAATTATAGTCGTACAAAATTAAAATTTTGTTTTTGGTTATAAAAACTTTTTGGTTTATTTTAACTCTTAATAATGTCTAAAGTATTTTAAGTACAGAAATGAATGATATATCATTTTAGAGATAATTTTTGTCTGATGACAATGAGATAAGTAGCGCTGGTGTAGTTTCTTAATTATATTCGAAAAAAGTGGAATTTCGGATTTTTAGTAATAAAAATGTTTGGCGTTCTTTAATTTTTAATAGTTTCTAAAGTAATTGAATTACAGAAATCAATGATCATCATCATTTTAAGGATAATTTATCACTGAAGACAATGAAATAGATGGCGTTGGTGTAACTTTTATATTTTCATAATTATAGCGCTCCAAAGCAAAAATTTTGCTTTTCTCCTAATAAAAACTTTTTGCTATTCTTTAACTCTTAATAATTTATAAAATATATAAAGTACAGAAATAAATAATACATCATTTTGTAGATAATTTTTCACTCATGACAATGTTATAGGTGGCGCTTATGTCATTCAAGTACTTCAAAAGTTATAAACAACTTTTTGCTCGTTTTACTAATAAAACACCTAAATTATTATTATTTTGTTGCACTTGGCAGCCCTACCCCCAAGGCAAAAGTTGAAGGGTGCACAGAAATAACTTCTACGCTACACGAAAAGCGTTTCACGCGTTGTACACCACATAAACCATTGAAATAGGTCGAGGACAAAACGCGGCGACACGAAAAGCCCTGCGGCGTATTCCTGCACGAATGACCCTAAACTACCCTTCAAGGTTATTTCATAAACGCCTGCTTACGCACATCTCCAATATTTCTTCCTTATCGTCGAAAAGAATAGCGAGGTTACCTCCATCTTAGGGCATTGTACAAGGTTCACGAGGTTAGTCACGTGTCGCCGGTGTTTTTGTTTGTTTATTTAAATATATGCATCGCATTACATTCAAGTTCATCAATTACATGAATTCTTCAATTGAACGCGTTGAATACGCGTCGGCATATTCAATGAAACGTTGAATTGCGACATTCACATCTATGAATAGAGTTTTAAGATGTTTGTAGTAAGAGAAAATAGGTTTTATGTTGTTTTTCAACGATTTCCTGGTTTTCGCAAGCCGAGCGAGTAAGTTTACTGCCTTCAATTAATATTTAATTTGCTCGATTAAACTACGAAAGCATTACAGATTCAAATTGTAAGCGTTTACACGCGTATGGATTTCATTTCATTTCATTTCCGATGCGGTTTTGTATTGCTACGGCGAAAAAAAGTAAAAGTAATATTACTTTACTTAATTTGAATTGGAATTACACATTACACATTAATTATGCGCACTTTTACTTTCTGTGTTTAATACAACTAGAATAAGAATAAATCAAATTCATGTTGCGTTGTTGAGTGATGAATCAACTACGTTTTTGTTTACTTACTGCACTATTATTCGCTTTTGTTCATTGTAATCATTACTTTTTCTCTTAATAAACATTATTTACGACGATGTTTCCTTCCCCGGCCTCGCAATGTGCATTACAAATCGAAATTTGTTTTTGCATTTTATTTTCGGCTCGCAACTCGCTTGATATTAAAAGATGCCGAGGTTGTGCCTTGTGCCGGTGGAGGCGAGGCTTTATGATGTTTTGATATTTTCACGTCGCGATGCAATTTGCAAGAGAGGCGCTCGCTTTTTTATCGCCGCACACGCGTTAAATATAATGCAATTGCGTTATCGCCCTGACCTTGGCGGTCGCTCGCGAATGCGACACACTTCTGCATCAGGCTGCATCCGCGCGCATTGGCCCCGGATTGGCCGCGCTCCAAATCCCCGCGGCCGGGAACTTTGGACTCTTCCAGGATTTATCGATTCACGGCGAATTCGTGTGTTTGCCAGCCGGTGCAAATAGCACAAAACAATTATAGTACCTTACAGATGTCGCTAGTGACCCTCACATAACCTTATTTGTATAACCTTACAATATATATTATATTGAAGTGATTTTTTTTTGTTTTTTGCAGTTGTATTCTGTGATTATGTGGCATCCGGTCGATCGTTACAATTCATCGAAGAGTATATTCAACGAGAAGTACTTCCGTGCCATGGCAACACCCACTCGACCACGAATATCACCTCGTTGCAGAGCACTTTATTTCGGTGAGTGTACTACGCCGCCATTGAAGTTTCTGCATTTGCAAAACAACACAACTAGGGTCAGCACGTGTTATCGCACTTTCTTGGCCTCGAGCCAAACTTGCTTACTCCAGACGTTCCAGAAAAACATCATAAATATTTATCAAAATAGATAAAATTTTTCCAAAGATTTCCACTCTGCAAGCTTGTAGAATTCTTGAATGTGGGGCATTTTTCATGCACTCCGCACGACTCCACTTTCTTTTTAGAGTGCATTCGAGCATCGATTTTCGCTCGCGGTCTGCTAGAAAACATCTCCTTCGGCACGTTTTCCTCATATTACAAAAAAGACCTCAGAGGAGCTATTCAACAACTTCAAATAACGCTTTCTATGCTTCCGGTTTCAGGCAGGAAGCGAGGGATATCATTAAAAACGCCGTGAATGCTTCCGACGACGATGCTGTCATATTCGTCGGACATGGTTGTGCAGGCGCCATTAAGAAATTAGTCAACGCTTTGGATCTCGACGCTCCTACTGTTTTCGTAGGTGCTAGTGAACATCAGGATAACTTACAAATTTGGCAAGAAATTGGTGCACAAGTAAGTCTAATCAACACTAAAAAATACATCCATCACATTTTTACACAATTTTTATATTTTTGTGTATAGATTATAAGAATAGCTGAAACCAAACAAAATCATCTTGATCTAAATGACCTGGAAGAACAACTCAAGTTGCATAGAAACTCCGGTCGGCAATTGGTGGGTTGTTTTGCAGCCACGAGCAGTGTAACCGGTATTTTGGTCGATGACGTGGCAGCCACGATGTTACTCCATCAATATGGCGCGTTTGCATTCTGGGACTACAACCTAGCCGCCCCGTATCTTACCATGAACATGAATCCCAAAGTCCCCGGAGTGGAAGATACTTCATTGGTACTCAAAGACGCCATTTACTTCTCCGGACATAAATTCATAGGCGGTGTACAAACACCTGGAATTCTGGTAGCTAAGAAATCCTTATTCAAACGCGTCAACACTTTCGAACCCGAAGGTTTCTTTGCGTTGCACGAACAGAATCGTAGCTTTGAACTGCAAGAGGAAGGCACATCAGCCGCCATTATCGAATCTATTCGTGCTGGGTTAGTAATGCAGTTGAAAGAATCAGTCACAGTGGCGAATATTGTGGCAAGACAAGACAAAATCACCAAACAAATGCTGCAACATATTCGCACAATCCCAGAGATTATATTATTGGGTAACAGTTCCACTGGGTTGAAAAGAATCCCGGTGTTTTCTTTTATGGTGCGCCATCCCCGTGGGACATTTCTACATCATAATTTTGTCTGTGCCATCTTGAACGACGTATTTGGTATTCAGGCACGCGGTGGTTGTCCGTGTTCAGGTGCCTACGCACAGGATTTACTCGGGATTGATCAGTCCTTAGCGACGCAATACGAAAACATCATCTTGGAGGATCAACGTTTGGGCAGGTTGAATTTATCCATGGAGAAATCACATCTTGAATTACTCCGTCCTGGTTTCACCCGAATTAGTCTTCCATATTTCATTAATGATAACGAATTGGCGTTTATAATGGAAGCCGTTAAGATGGTGGCAACCGAAGGTTGGAAACTTTTACCACAATACACCGTTGATGGCGGTACTGGCGAATGGAGACACCATACGAATCCAATTTCTCGTGATCGTAAATGGCTGGGATCCATTCGTTATGTTGATGGTAAAATGACAATGAATGAAAGACGAATTTCCGGGCCTGGGTTATTCCCTCAGAGTTACCCCGAATGCCTGCAGACTGCACGTAATTTATTCAATCGAGCGCGTAAGATCGCCATGCGAAGTTCTTCGGATGAACAAGGCATCAAGTTTGACACACGCGCTGAAAAGTTACGATGGTTTATGCTGCAGCATGAAGCGCAGGATATTCTCACCGGTAACTCGCAGAATATCAAACATGATGTACCCTTCAACCCGCAGGGTTTCAGCGGGTCAAAACGGACCGAGAAGGAGAATGAAAAGATTACCAGTAATAGTATTCCGCATCCGGTGTCGAACACAAGTAGTCCACGCCATTTTAGTCTCCCGGCAATCGACGACCATCGGATTCTTACCAGTTCTTCCCCAGTGCCATATTTTGTTCAGGATATGAACAGTTTCTACTTCCCCACGTCGTACACAACACAAGGACCGGTGAATTTCGCTGTTGGCGAATGCGTTTCCACGCAGGTGTTGAATCCAGTGCCACAATCCCCACATCCAGGGATGTTTAGTCGAGAAAGATGCTTTAGTCTTGGTGGTCCCATCAGTACACAAGCGCAGCCGATTTTAAGCCCTCAAACCAAAATGAGTTTGGGTCTTAGGCAACGCAACTGCAGTTGTAGCAGTGCACAAGACTTCCAATCCTTAGATTCGGATGCACAGATGTCCCCAACGCACAGCATGAATAGCATGAATGTGTTGGGCAGTTTTGATCTAGGCCGGACATCACCAAGCGATCTGCAGACTTATGTCACAGAAATGACCAAAGAACTGGCAACTAATATCAAGTCTGAGATTCGTGAGGTTATTAATAAAGTCGAGGATGCTTTAGATGGGTCAGATTATACCAAACATGGCGGTTTTAATAGTGGTGGATCAGGAAGTGATGATGGCCGGAGTGATTCTATTTCTGCAGTGGAAGTCGCTGAATATATCGAGAAAGTCTCCAAGGAGATGGCGAATGAAGTCAAGAGTGAATTCCGCGATGCTTTCAACGCTGTGGATGTTTATATAACCCCCGATAAACGTTCGTTCTCAAGAGCTTCCAGTTCTGGCGATAGCGAGAAAGGTGCCAACAGCGCTATATCAACCACCAGCGCAAAAGAAGATAGATACACTCCTGGATCAAGCAGTGAGACTGTTATACAAATGATTAACAAATCCAACAGTACCAATGGATTGAATGACGACGATCATGTTTTGATGAAGAAAATGATGCCCTGTTACATGCACACGAATCTAAGTTCACAAGACAGTGGTATTAATCTGTCATTCCAAGAACACGAAGGACAAGAGTATACACGTAGACCTAGTAGTACGGAATCCAGGTCGGAACGTGCGAGAAATATGAAGTTACATCTTAAAATTCACAGCGAGAGCGAGGATAAACCGGAAGAGATTAACTCCGAGGAAGTTTCCAGTTGTAAATGGTCATGTCCTCCGAAGAATATCTGGGAGGGTACTATTGAAGCCATCGATGAGTTTGAAATGATTCGTAATGGAGATCGTGTTATGGTTTGTTTATCTGGTGGTAAAGATTCGTTGAGTCTGTTGCATACTTTACTGCAGTATCAGAGCGTTGTGTTAACCAAAGGAGTAGAATTTTCTATTGGGGCTGTTACCATTGATTCGGATGAACCAGGATGTGATCCTTGCGTTCTTGTTCAACATTTGAAGTCGTTGGGAGTGCATTATGTCTTGGATGGTCACAATGAAACATCTGAAGGTATTATTTCTTTATATGTGAATGAAAGAGTTGTTAATAATGTGTTTTTAGATGATAATACGCAAACTGAAGAAGCTTTCTACAGTTTTGCAACAAGAGAACTTCGCCATCGTCTGTATTCTACAGCTAAGAGTGGCGAATATAACGTGCTTGCCATTGGACAACATCTGGATGATTTAGTGGAGAATTTCATCTTGAATTTGTTCCATACAGGAAAGTTGCAGACTTTAAAAGCGCATTATTATATTAAGTAAGTTTTTAAACACAGATTTATAGGTAAAATGTCTAATTATGTTTTGTTTGTTTACAGAGAGCATGATTTGCGTGTAATACGCCCATTTGTTTACCTACGCGATAAAGTATTGCGTAATTTCGTAACGCATCAGAATCTGCCGGCCATTTTGAATAGCTACGTCTGCCCGGACATCTCGAAAGATCGGCAGCGCGCCAGGCAGCTTTTGGCTCAGCAAGAGCTTTACGTGCCGAAGTTGTTTGCCAGCATTCGACAGGCACTGCATCCGTTGATTTCATTCCAGGAGGAGAACGCTGAAACCCTCGCACGTCTCCTGCACCTGAAGGCTAAGGATGACTCCGAACCGGAGACGGATGAAGAACCCGTCTTTTTGCAGTGTTGAGATGACATCGAGCGCAAATTTCATGCGTTTTTACTTTACATGGAAAATGATTAATTATGAAGCGTGGTTGGAAGTTTGAATTTCAAACATTATCGATTAGAATGCAACTGAATGAAAACAGTGAACAGTGAAGATTGATGATTGATGAATGACACGTGTGATTATGTTTTTTATTTGTACTTTGTTTTTTTGTATTTGACGATTTCGTACACGTTCAAATTGAACGATGGCGTACAATTTTACGTTCGAATTACGTTTAGATTCTTCTCTTTTGTTTGCATATGTGTAATGTGCAATGTATACGATTTTTTTACTGCGCGTGAGTGGGTGATTTGATTTTTATTTGTTTCTTAATCCGCGGCTTCTCATCGTTGTTGTGTTTTTAACTATGTATTTGTTATGAGGATTTAAAAGTGAAGTTCAAGTTTTATTTTATACGCTGATCGCTGCTAGGAATTGTGTTTTGTTGATATTCTCGATATGATTTCAAACGAAACGAATGTGATTTTACCTTATATATAAAACTATAATAATATTAAATATTATTATATTTATGCGCTTAGGCTAAGAAGTAATGTATTAGTTGTTAGGTAGAGTTTAGCAGTGTAGCGATAACGAATGTTTTTTGACAGAGAAACAAACAGCGACGAGACAAGAGCGAAATGTGTGCAGGAAATAGGAAACAAACAAAATATATTTACTGTTAACGTACCGTTTAAGCAAAGATATTTAAAAACGTGTTACACTGAACGATGGTCAGCGAAAAATGGAATGGATTTATTTTTAAGTGAGAATAATAATAATGTACATTAAGAATTCAATCTATGTCTTTTAATTCACAGATAAACACCATATTTTAAGTTGCAGCAGGGTACATAGCTATTCGAAAGATTTGTGAAATCATTTCGATGTACTCGTAGAAATTGAATCCAGACATTTGAAATATTCGGTAAATATAACACTTCTTGAATTCTGTAAAGTTTTATGGTGAAATGTGTATAACTGGTTGCCCAAGTTAGAAATATATAACGATGAAGTTTTAAAATGTTTCAAGAACACTGAATAAATCAGTTTACGCAGAGTGCAGACTTGTTTTGACCAACTACTCAAAACAAGTGATAAGATAATATCAATAGTATCTGTGAGTAAGGCTTCGTGTGTTTACAAACATCCTCAACAATGCATGCTGTTCGGCTAATAGTTTTCTTCCAAATATCAAGGTAAGTTTTAAATATTTATTATATCCATACAAATGAAATGTAACAATAATGTTGGCGTATTTAATACTAGCATGGCTTTGGAATTCAATACAATATGTACAAATACAAAAATCAAATAAATTAATACTATAGTTTTCAATCCATACAAATAGCGATTACCGAATAACGGTAACATCATTACTGTTTCTTCATGAACACATATCTCGTGGATTACAAAATCTCAGTGACTTTTTCATCCCTTCGGATTCTTGGCAACCATATTTTTCAAATAACTAACCGACATAAACGATTTACTATTCTGCACATTATCCGGACTCTTCGAATCGAATCTATAAGACCGCGATGTACATCTTAAAGTAGCCCAATAAGCATCACGATACTGTTTGTTCATCGTAACATAAATAACCGGATTAATACAACACGCAGTGTAGAGCAGCAGATAAGCCGTGATGTGAATCGCCGGGAATCGTAACTGCGGGTCGAATATCTTCACGATTGTCAAGGGGAGATAACAGACAACGAAGGCGACAAAAATAACAATGACCATTTTAGTAATGTGCATCTCACTGCGTCGCGTGTTTAGATTGCTCGACGAATGTTGCGCGACACGTTTTTGCGATTGTCTGACAACCCAGTAAATATTCGCGTAGGAAATAATAATAACTAAGCATGGCATAGCGAAGCCAAACATAAACAAAGCGACTTTTGGTGATCGTCCATTTGCATCACGATTAATCGAACAAGTTCCAAGTTTATCATCTCTTCCGAAAGTGCCCCAGACACCCAAGAAGGTAGGCATCATCAAACCGTAACTAAATATCCAAATGGCGGCAATGTAGAGCGCTACTTTGGTTTTCGTGTAGATTTGTGGATAGACGTTTGGATATGCGATGAGAATATAGCGATTGATTGATATTGTGGCTACGCTTATCAATGACACACCAACACTACCATATCTAAGTTGAAATATAAACAAAATAAACAAAAATACTGAATATTATTAGTCTATATTTATAAATACCTCATCATAGGAACTAAGGAACATAACGCGTCCCCGTGAATCCATTTTCCATGGAAAAATTGACTTGCTGCGAAGGGTAACACCAGGCAACAGAATAATAAATCCGAAACACATAAACTAAAAGAAAAACAATCATAAGTATGAATCATGTTTGTGCGAAAACAGTAAAAACTTTCATTTAACCGGAATTTAGTGATGACCACACATGAAGGTCATCGTAATCATGATTGAATCATTAAATCGAATCGCATCATGACCATGTCCAGGTACATATTTATTTTATGAATGAACAATGAATCATTCGATTGATTTTTTTGTTCTTACCTGGCAATGAAAGCGGCAGCAACAGTTCTTATCTTTGAATGTCTCAGCAGTGCGATGGCGGTTAGTAAGTTGCCGATGACGCCGATTATCATGATAAATAATGTCACCACGCCGGCTGCAGTCATCATTCCCTCTGAATATCTAAAAATGTATTAAATTTTATAACTTTTAAACGTGATTCTTTGATTTTCTTACTCGAGCATAATATAATAGCGCTCTGTACGTACAGGGCCATTATTTATTTGCGTGTTATTGTTTAATGCCATTTTAAATATTTAATTAAGTACAACTTGATTTGTTGACAGTCTAAATATGAATGATCTCGTTTCCGTACATTTTTTTTGCGTTTCGATACAAGCGTAATATTTGACCAGAAAATACGTAGAATCATGACGCAGTTGACGCGGCCATGTCCGCAAAGTAAGTGAAATGTGCCCATGGCGCAAAGCAAAGTTGTTAATCTTATCATTTGCGGTTGAATACACAAAATGGGAGCTTTACAATATATTCATGTATAATCAAAGCTTTGTCATCATAACATCCGTCTGGAAGACGTGTTACTATATATACACAACATTACACATACAACATAACCAATATAGATCAATATAGGCAACACATTATACACTTATACGTGAAAACGGTTTTTAGTGGCGAATTAATAAAACAAAAATTCAAATATTGAGGTCACAATAGAGATAAAACTTATTTATATTTATATTGGTGATTGTGACAGTGGAGAACGCCTTAACCGCTGTGAGCTTGCATCAATTAAAACAAATTAAATGGCTAATAAATTAATTAACGAAAGACCAAACGCTCTTGCATTTCGGCCGAAAGCGCGCTCTATTCTCTATCGTGCATTCGCTTTTCTCGATTTTGTGCGCAATGTGCGAGTTCAATTTGTTTTAAATTGACTCACACTGGCCGATGAACTGAAACTGTACTAATTATTTAATGAATTAACTTATAAAGAAGGAAAATACTCTATAACAAACAATGCCAATGTTTACAAATAAATTATTGACATATTATGAATTTTAAAAATAAAAATTGTTATCTTGATTGAAAGAGGTTCCATTGACATCGTCTCGTCTATGTTTTACTTTCTCAAGTGTAAAACATCTGCGTAAAATTAATGTTTGTATATTTGCAATGCTATTTGTAAACCGGAACATAAATAAAATTTTTATTTAATTCAAAATAGATTTTCAATGTTTATTTAACATCAAATACTTTTTATACTTTTAAAAGTTTAATTTATGCTTAAATTAATTAATAACTCACCTAACTAAAACGCTAAACTGTGAATTATCCAAATCGTCACCCTCCATGATTGAATATTCAAGTAATCCAACGTGTATTGCACTCACAATTTAACTAAATTTAATTCCGATTCGATTCAATGTACAAGTCAAATTTTACGTGTTTATCCAACGATAGAGTTAAATAAAGTTTCGTGTTTGTTTAGAATATTTACAATGATTAAATTCTTTTCAAGTACATATTCTACGAAACCAAAGTGTATGCTTGTTGTATGTGTGTCGTGTAGAGTTGACTGACGTTCACTTCGGTTCGCGCGCATGAAAATTAAAATTGATAAATCGGCGACACAATAATTTCGCGCCCATGGCTGGATGGGCGCACAGCACGTTGCCCTAGGAAGGATGGAGATGTGTAAACAGCTGCCGGGCTGCGTTTTCCCCCCTTGTGTACGCCACCGCCGCCGGATGGTTAAAAATTAATCTTAATTAGCTTCAATAATGAAACAGTGCGCGCACTTTTTATCGTTTGGTATGCCACAATTCATACTAACCACAATAACAATACAAACTGTTGCACTATGCACTGATAACGCACAAATGTCGCGAATAAAAATTTTTCAAAAGTCGAAACAATGTGCTGCGTCCGTGTGATTTGTGGCACGAATGCGGAACGTATGCGCACATCGCGCGCAATGCGCAAGATGCTGAGCCCGCATTATTTATTAAACGACGTACCGAATATTAGTCATCGACTCGTGCGCTCGAAGAAATTCCCTCGTCATTACACATCGTTATTGGTTGTAACTTGTTACTAATCCATGCATATTGTTGAGTTGTGCGTGTGTCGAGGAGACCTGTCGCCCTGTCGGCATTGTTCACTTTTACCAATCGTATTCAATTGGTTTGTTTGGGCTAGACATTAATGCCCTGAATTGATTTGAATTACTATTTCAACGTTTGAATAATTCTAGCTTCTATTTTGACTTAAAATGTAAGTTTTCTAAGAATTTTATTAGATAAATGTTTGTTTTGCGCATTAAAAACGTATTAACTGTGATTTCCGGCAGTTTTCCGCCAAAGTCATTAAAATTTAAACAATGAATTGTTATTATCCACGCCCGCGACTTGTTTGGGCGTTGTTACTGATTAAATAAACGACTTGTAAGTTGGCTTAAACCAAATGATACGCAATCAGTACGGAAGTTTGACTGGAGCATACATGCGATATGATTTATGTAAAGTTTATTGAAATTATTAAAAAATTGCTTTGGATGCATAAATTATACTTAGTCGCGTGCTCAAATAATCTAATTAATGTTTTTTACCCGCAAAGTTTGCATCGGATGTTTATACGTCACATTTTAAAATAATTGCTATTATAAACATGTTTAGCGTTAAAAAGCAACATTTTCAATTGGTCAATGCTTGAATCATGTAATGAGGAATGTAATTAATGCAAACTGCATTTTTACTACTTTTTATGCTTTATTAGTCATAGTTTTGTTTATTTTTATGCAAGATGCATGCAATCGTGTATAATGTGTAGTCTACCTGGATATTAAACCTTTTGGTCCTTTTATAGTGCTAAAATTTTCATTTGTAGATTGCGTACATTCGGAAAAAAACGATTAATTGAAGTTAATCGATGTTATGCAACTGTATTTGCATAAAACGCAAACAACACATTATTCCTGATGTAATTATAGTGTCACATCAGGTAATCAACATAATTTATGGGGGAAATTAGTAAAACTCATCACATATTTCCATTTATTGTTTAGACATTTCACCAGTTTTTCTTGATTAATTCTATAAACCGCTATATACACAGAAACTAAAATAAATTACGCATACACCGCTAATATAAAACACTGACTAATTTCGTGTGACTTAAATTAAAATTCTCAGTCTTAATTATGTGAACATCAACCGCAGGACAAGATAATTTCGATTTGTAATGCAGTTACAAGTTGCAGTGTGTGGCTTTTTGAACAAATCATTAAATATTAAATTTTTCACATTTTAAAGTCCTGCAAAAGTTGCTCCGATTGCATTCAGCGCAGATGTCGCTTGTTTCGACGCATAACGCGCTTTATCATATGGCGCCTGAAAAATGAATCAAATATTAATGATTTAATTAAATTTTTAAGTGAAACTCACGTCTAGAACGCTGTTGACAATATTTGCGACACCGTCGAAGCCTCCGATTAGCGCAGTCGCGACACGACGTGATTTCGCGCCGTCGTTTCCGTACTTTTCATGCTCTTGTGTAATGTCAATTAGCGGCTTGTGGCCGACGATCTCGGCGATGAATTGATGCGAGCGCGTGTAGGCCGAATCCAATTGGGAGATTTTGCCTTCCATTTCAAGTAGAGCTCGTTCACGACCATAGGAACCGTAATGTGGGACTACTTGTTGCTAAAACATAAAGCAAACATAGCTGTCAATTATAATTCGCGAAATTTTCGATGATAATTGAATTATTACCTTATTACTTTCACCCCACTGTTGAAAACCATCTCCGAAATTCATTAAAACTTGACTACCGCCAATAATGGCGTTGTCTAATCCCAAAGGATAAGCAAATGAAGTTGTGCACATCAAAACAAATGTGAAACATGTGAAAAATCGAAAATCCATGGCCTAGAAATTATTAATAAATATATAAAATATATATTATGCAATTTATGTAAATTTCAAATGTAATTAAACATCTCAAGAGTTAAAAACGAATGCCCAACGTCTAAATCTATAAGTCTACAGGTTGTATTTATGAATTATTAAATTATTTTATTTCTGTTTGAATTTTTATAAAATTTACGACTGATATGGCTTTGAAATTCACAATTTATCTGGATTAACCTTGACTTGCTTACAGTTTTATTCGGATTGCGTAAAACTGCCGCAGCGACTTTTTGAGAAGTTAATTTATTGAAATCCAAGACATTAAACAGTGGTCTAATATAATTTAAGTAATTATGTTGTTGAGTACTGTAATCAGCTTGTTCTAATTATTTTTTGCTTCGTAGTTAAAACAAATGTCAATCTATATCAAATATTTAGATAAATAAAAATTCCATGTGCGCTTGCTTTGTTTCGCGCGTGTTTTTCTAAAACTAGTTTTTAAAAATACGTCTTTTGAACGTGAACGTGACTTACTTTTGGCTACTGTATTAAGTGACACCTGTTTCTCGACCTTCACACAGTTCTGATGCAGTTTGGCTAATAGAATCGTATCAATTTGCATAAACTATAATTATCAATCTATTGCAAAAATTACTCGAAATTAATTAATTCATTTTCAACATCGACAAATAAATTAAGACATTAAATATGTATTTTATAGTATTTTATTCTTTTCGGTGTGTTAATAATATTGTGTTAATTCCGGTTTTATTAATTCGGACATAATTGAATATTTTGGCACATTATCGCACGCAACATTTGATTTGGATACAATTGAATGAATTCGTTGCTTTGCACGCAAGTCGGTTTTCAATATCAATGTCTTCTCGCGTTACGTGAACGATCCACGAATATATTATGTTCTTTTATTAGTAACACCGCATATTTTGCTTCGTGAGTACGTGACATGATCTTTACGAGCGAAAAATTGGCCAATGCCAAGGCTGATCACATAAAATGTGTAACAGATCAGTTATTAGACAGGCAACATACCATTCTATTAATATTTTGTACTGTTATTACTTTTACTTGATTAATGTTGAAGTTTTTGAATGCAAGGTCGTTTTTAATATCAATATCTGATTAAATTTGATAAATTTTTTTTGATAAAAATAAAAACCCTTTAAATCGGAGGATAAATTAATTAAAAACTAAAATTTACTTAAATTTGATTTAAGTTTGCATAATTCTGTAAAATAAGTTGTATTGTTGGTAATTTTATCAACTTGTAACTAGTACAAGTTGCAGTTGCAACAAAATGCACTTCGGTGAAAACATTACTGACCTGCAGTTGCAGTGTGCAATGAAATGCACTCATGTTGCAATTGTGCATTGAGCGATTGAGCATTGAGCAACGTTAGAATGTCGTGGCGAGTGCATTCACAATTTTATTTGCATTTTACAAATAAAATTATGCTTCGCACACAAAACCCTGCTAAGTGAACATTTAATAAAGTTTAAAAAACGAGTTATTTTTATTTGTCATTAATTTTTTGTTTGTTTTAATATTAGTTGAACTTAATTGTTACAATTACACTTCGGTTGATACATGCATGCGTTGATCGAATGCGCCGTGTACTTTCTATGAATATTTTATGTCAAGGTGTTTTCGGACGTTTGTGTTTAATATTCGGAACTGTTTCATAATAGCGGCAAGCGCGGTCCGAAATGTTTGAACACTTTGCGCACACATCGAGTTTGTTAATTATCCGCAGTTCCGTACAAGGTTGACGACGACCGCCGCAAACAACAACGCGCGCAAGAATCTGGTATCGAGACCGAAACCAACTGCATTCTTTATATTTACAAACTTGACCAAATGCATTTCTATTGCCAAATCGTACCAAATCTAGTTTTTAACTTTGTGTCTTGATTGATGAAAAGTGTGTGTAATGTATTGAGAGTGTCAAAATCGTTCAATTGTTTTCGGTTTGGTGCATTGCGAAAATTTGCAACTCTAGAATACAATTGGGAAACGCATCTTGTTAACGAGGCGACATTACGAATTAAATCAATAAGTCTCAACAAAAAACAAGTTAAAAAGCGTGAATGGTTTGCTGCAATTGTTGAATGAAACTTTTGTGCTCTGCCATGACGAAGACTTCTTTCTTGTTGACAATACATTTCTCAAGAATGAATTCGTTTTGATTTTCAATACGAAGCGAAATAATTTTATTTTTAATTGTAATTTTGTCAAGACATCTTCAATATATGTCAACTACTCGTAGGAGCACATAAATAATTGCATAATCTTTGATGATGGCTTATAATTGTCGATCATCATTGAAAATAATTAAATTCTTCAACTTCAAGGCAATTTACAAGATGACATCTTCAATCATTATTAAAAAGAACACTAATCATCGTGGACTTAATTCAGATAAATGGCATTTCAATTAAATTTTATTTTAAAAACTTACTTTTGAATTTGTAAGCATTCCAATTGATTTGTACTATTCACAGACAAAAGAAATTTCACACTTTAGTCACTTTAAAAACACTGTAATCTTATATCAATATTATCAATATGATATTTTAATAGATTAAACAATTCAACATCCGTTTTGGTTCTTGTCGACCGCACGCGCGAATTCGTACTGGGCGATAAGTATCGCTGGTATCGAGGAGTCCACCCGTTTCCTTTCCTTCCTCTCTTGGCGCACTTCGCCGACTTCACACCGCGCATTACTTAAGCTCAGCATGCGCGGCGCGCTTCCACCCGAATGCACATAAATGAGTGCCACTAGGTTAAAAGATAAAGACAAAGTGATAACGCACATAGAACTTTCTCTTTCGCGCACATGTGCGTTACTCCCGCTAATTATAATTGCACACACATTCGTGTGTGTAATATATGCGTTTTAATTCGCGATAACATTAACAAATTTATTAATTGTAGTAAAAATGCAATTTATTACGAAAGTGACGTTTTGTTCCTGTTCAAAACAAAAATTTTATTTTATTTAATTTTATGGAGGTCATTTATTTTCAAATTTTATAATTTAATTGTTTACTTTAAAGAATTTGGCATTCAATTCATTGAAAAGTAAACGATTAAATTTTTATGCTATTAGAAAACATTATTTGGCGGAATTCCACGGTGACACTGGACTTTGACGCATGACAAAAGACGCATCAATTAACAACCTGCACGTTATTTAATATTTGCCGAAATGCTCGAAGCAACTTGAACGTACAAGGCAAATAGGAACAAACAATGAATAATAAATTTGTCGTCTCATGTTTCAGCCTTGCGCGAAAAATGACAAGACAACTTAATGTAAAAAAAATTACATGCAACAATATTGAAAGTTAAAGTTTTTGTGTGCAGTTTGCGATGCAGTTGCATTCAGAGCGCGACTTGATTTCGTCATGGAAAATAGAAAATAATAAAATAATCAAAAAAAAACCTGCATACAAGTGCAATACGAACATAAAAATACAGGTTTTCGGTGTTGATTAAAAATAATAAATAAAATGTTAATTTAAAAAAAATCAATAAAACCAAATTAATCCAGTTTGCCTTAAACTCAACTCGAGATTTCAACTTTTCGACGCACTTTTAACGAATGACTTAAATTTAAAGCATAAAGTAGTTCAAGTTCGAGTGCAATACGAATGTTTTACCTTTACTTGTTTCTTTGGCGGACAATTGACTGTAATACACACATTTAGTTAGCTATCAGCCTAGTCAATCTATTCATTATTTCTTTATATGGTTGGTAATTATTGCAAATAAAAAAATTAAGTACTTAAGTTACTACATTCGGACTTACTTTACAAATTAACATAAATAATTATTCGACGCCTCGCGTAATTTCCGATGTTGTTTATTAATATGATGGCGTCGACGGCGATTTGTTCAAGTATTCGGCGGTTTTATTACCCGCCATTCCGATGGCACGCACTTTGAAATAATTAAAGTACCGATTTTGCGTCACAAGGTCAATCGACTGCGGCGGCGCGCGCGACTTTGACGTTGCGCAATGTTCTTTGGTTTTAGTTGAAGCCAAATCAAAGTTTAAATAGTGTTAGTAACTGACAGCAACACTATTGGTGCAAATGCTCACACCACAAGCGCAATGCAAGTTTTTTTTTACGATTGCTACTCGCTTATTAGTTATTTGGGTTAAAAACCGAAATGCTGTGGCTAATATCTTGCTATCCTTACTAATCAATCAAAATGTTTGTTTTTATTTATGAATTTATTAAGTAGAATAGATTTACAATGGTTGGTAACAAACAAAACAAGAAAAAATTCGAAAATTTGATTTCAATACAAAAAAAAAAGAAAATATCAACAAAGAAGACAATGAAGTTATAAAGCATGTAATTTTCTTTTAAATTAATAAAATATCTGTGATTGATTCACAATAAAACTTTAGTTTACGAATAGCATTTAAAATGTTGTGTATGTTGCAATTATTATTAATATGACAATAACTTGTAGATTAATCACATCTATTAGTGTAATATCTTCAGATACCTTCTGCATTAAACTAAATCACACATGATTTATAATTGTGTGCGTGTGTTGGACCTTGAATTAAATGTTAACGCGATGGAATTTAAATTTAATTTGAATATTTATTGCTATCCACGCTTAGTTTTAAACTCATGCATTTCGGCACGTACGCATGCTAAACTTGATTTCGGCGCTTGCACGCAATGCTAAAAAGAAATAACTAAATACCAAAAACGAACTAATTGCATGTGCACACTTGTAAGACTGAGCGTGCTGCGGCATTTCAAGGTTTCGTATTTTACGCTTGAGGTATTAAACGTTCATTACTTTATTTTTCGAAGTTCTGTCGTCCTTTGTCAGTAATTATATTGCAATAAAGATGTGTGGAAGATAGTTGTAATGAGTGTAGAAAAATAGAAATGTTATAGTTTTGATCGAATTTAATAATAACCACTTTTTATCAATATGTGGATACTGATTATAAATAAATTATATTACTTATTAATCTACCTGCGTAAAGTTTTTTGTATTGAACGTGTTTCTGTGCTGGTAAACATTGGTTTTGTGCATTTAGGTTTCATTCCTCTACCGATCAGGTACGCGAGAGGTGTATAATGAGGAACTTAAACTCATCTACACCTGATCCAATTCCTGACATCAAATGAATTCTATTCCTGCATTAGATTGAATTTATTTATTATTTTCCAAATAATTTTTGTAATTAGCTTACGAAAAAGCAACAGGGGTTTTGCTCTTGAGCCTGTCATCATAGGAGAACCATTCTGACATCACGTTGTAAGTATCTCATTTCTTCTTATCATTTTCATAAATAACTTGAGTGACTAGCTCACGAAAGAGTCTACATAAATTGCATTTTTGTATATCGAAGGACTGATTTTTGTTTGTTTTAATTGTTTTGCACCTGAGCCCTACAATTCTATCATCAGATAGTAAGTAATTATTTTCTTTATTATTTTTATAAATAACTTTTGTGATTAGCTCACGAAAAAGCCTACAAAAGTCGAATATAGACTGAGTGATTTATCGCGTGTCCCGAAATAATAAATGAATATATAATTCGGTGAATAAAGGATACTTTAATTTTAGGTTCTTGTTCACATTTAATCCTTGTGTTTACAACACCGTTTCAATTTCAGATGTAACAGTAAGCAGAGAAAAAGAAGGTAGAAGAAGGCACAGTACTAGAAGTAAGTTGGGAATATAGTAGGAGAAGAAAAGAAACCACCACGAGAACACAGGATGGAATCAAATTTTTGATAGTCTAAGAACGCTCTGCTCGACCACTTACTGTTTGATGGCGCCCGGCCCGGCGTAGCGCATCTCAACAATTTTTAAGTTGGGGAATCCCCTGAGAGGGACAACTCCTAAATATGTTGCGAATTTTCGGAACAAATTTCCCCCCAGCGATGACAGGAGAAAGGTACACAAATGATACTAGTCGCTGGGTCCTTTAATATGTATATACTAGTTAACTCGGCAAACGTTGTTTTGCCATATAAATTATTTTTAGTTTCTAGATAAATTCCAGTGTAGACAAACAGTAACTTACATATTATAAGTGTGTAAGTATGTAAAACTTGGTTAACTGAACAAATCGTGCCAAATACACTTAAAATTAATAATTTTATAATCTAAAATATAAAAATGAATCGCAAAATGTGTTGGTAACCGCTTCACTCAACAATGCCTAGATCAATTTAGCTAATTCTTCTTTTAATATGTTTGTTAAAGTCCAAGGGTGGTTTTTACGGCGACAAAAATTGGAATAATTACCGGGAAAACGGGGAAAAGCTGAGGTTTTTCTTTTTTCGATTAACGAAACAAATTCCGCAGCCTTCTTCGACTTATTTTTGATTTATTGTTTTATATGGTGTTTTGCGCAAAGTGTTTTCTACTGAGTTTTCTTTTATCCACTGACAAACGAAACAAATCCCGCAGTTTTCTTTGATTCATTTTTGTTTGATTGTTTCATTTCGTTTTTTGTGCAAAGTGGTTAATCTACGATCACTAAGTATTGCATGTGACACAATTCGGGGTGTTTTTGTGGGTCCCACTAATATAATTTGTTCTTGAAAGGGTGGCGAAAGATCGTGGAAGCGCCTTGTCAACGGGGTGACTGTTCTGTTCAGGAGATTTTTTTGCACCGACTATAAAATAGAGAGGAACAAAATCTGTCACATTCCAATTTTTTTTAACAGAACGAAGTCTGTTGGGTCCGCTAGTTATGAATAAAACAGTAATAATTAATAGTTACGGGGGTATTCTACTCTAGATATTTTCAAAGTTTAACTATTCAAGAATACGTGTACAAGAGGATTTTTCAAAATTGAAATTATTTTCCGAGATATTGCCGTTTTGGTGACGCGGCATCCATATTGGTTCGCATTGACGCGAAACTTTAAACGTGTTTTTCTCGAAACTGTATTTTTCGAGACGGTACCCACGATTTCTCAACTTCTACTGAACCGATTTACTTGAAATTTTTACAGAGTCTTCTTTATAGACTTTTCTTTAAGATGAACTACGCTTATCCCCAAATTCCGATTTTAAATATTCCAAAAAAAATCTAGAATATCAAAAAATAAGGTTGAAAAAATCACTATTTTTTCAAACAGTCGCCATTTTGTGAAAAACTTTTTTTTTTCACTTGTCCGTAGTTCATATGATTGCGACATTATTCTAGATTAATAATTAATTATTCTAGATTAATTCAGATCACTTGGAGGGCTAAAATCATGGGTACGGTCACCTGCCAATTTTTTGGGACCTCCCACTTCATCACCTGCTGGAATTTAAAATTTTGAACTTTTTTCAGTTTTTATTTTTTTTTGTATTCTCAAAACATTAATAAATAAGTGTTAAAAAAATGGATAGTAAAAATATTAATTGATTTTTTTTACGGCCTTTCAAAAATCACATGAAATTCATGCCTCTAGAGTAGAATACCCCCTTAATATGAGAGTTACACTGAGATAGCAATATGATAATTGTATACGTTACTACTACACATGATACATATACCATAATGATGGTCGAAAACTGGGTAGGGAGTGAGAGAAGTCTTATTGTGTGCGTGAAACAGGAGACCGACTTCAATCTCATTCCTTCGAGCGGGATGAAAAAAAATTAAATTACCAAAATGGCTATAAAAATATAGGGGTTGGTGATAAAAAAGTAA